AACAACCACGTCTAAAATAATTTTGGAACCACTAAAGCGGAAATAAGTAAAATTTGCTTTTTCATGGCCATAACAGGTCAAACTTCCACAACTGCAACTCTCGATAAGTTAGGCACATCGAGCACTATTGAAAACACTTTGTCGCATTCAAATATTGCGTATACAAAGAATAAAGGATAAAGCATTTGCCGTTGATCAATCCCTTTTTGGGATGCGGCACGCATTCTACTTCCATTTGTACATTCGTAGTGGCGTTTGAATGCGATGTGGCCTATACAATGACTTGCGGGGGCCAGCCGATGTACAAGTCAGTGTTTTTATCCTCCCAGACAAGTCTGGTACCAATTAACCGACCCCGGAGGGATGGAAGGCTTGGTTGGCCCGGGCGACTCACGACCCAGGATTTGATCCCGGACCGCTCGCGTGGTAAGCGTGCCACTTGCCACTGCACCACTTCCGCCAGCGTATGTACAGCTCGAAATCCACGGTTTTGATGTGATGCTGCTGCGCTCGTAAAACAGCACATGCCCCACGCGGCCGGAAAAGCCGAAACGCGCGACATCGTCAACGCGTTAATCAGACCAATCCCCTCATCTTTTAGGCTCCCTTGTCTCGTACTCTCCTCCCCGCGCCTAGTCTATCATTGCCTTAGCACAGCCGATTACGAAGAAGTGAACTCTCAATTGAATTCTTTCCCTTTTTTCTTTACCACCTTCCCTGTGCGCACAAATATTAGGTTGGCAAGAAAGTCCTGCAACACTTTTTCAAATTTTTGATTTTAATTTTATCTTTTTTGTTTACAACTCCTGACCGGTCATATATCTACCATGAGTGTCCACCACTTGTCTTCAACGCTCAGAAAATTTCTTGATGCTCCTTTGCCAAAACCCAGCGGAGTGCGGGTCGAGAAAGGAGGCGACCTCACTTTCGAGTTGGAGTTGATCGTCTAATTATTTCGTTATCAAGATGATGATTTAAGGTCCAGGATAGGTGGCAGTCATTTATAGCTCGACCAGGGGAATACGCTAAGAGAGGTAAGAAATCTTGCCGCAACTCCAGAATTTCTTACCGGGCTCATTTCGGATCATGGTGATTCGCAATGTCATGAAAGAAATGAATATTGTCGCGGTACGAGGGCTCCTGACGAGCTGCCTCGGCCAGCTTCTGGAGTTCCGCAGCCTAGACCTCTACCTACACAATGGTGCCCATAACGAAGAATTGTAGTGAGCTTCTGTAAGAGCCCTACCTGTAATGGAGTGTAGGGACGCTGCTGGCTTCTTATAAAAATATCAAAAGATCGAAAGCGCTGGTAAAGGTGAAACACGCTGTAGCGGTGAACGGCATGCCTATTGAAGCTATTGCAGATAGTGTCAGGTCGTTGACACGAATCCATAGTTTTGGAGACATTTGTACTAGACAGTGACTCGGAGTATGGATTTACTAGTGGTCGAGGTTTTTTGAATTTTCTTGGATAACTACTGACTGCAGCACTTATATCCACCTCGTGGATTGAAGCCTCGAGAATGCTCTACCATTTGTTAGTCATAAATGTTACCTATGAATTTTTCAGAAAAAAAGAAAATTTTAGAAAGAGTGTCGCAGAACTTTCTTTCCAACCTAATATATAATATTGCACCAAGTGCAACGAAATATAGCAGTGCAAATCCTAACTTCCTTATCAACCGTTATCGCAGGTTATCACTTCTGATCATCCGCTATCCGTCCCGTCCATCCCCTATACCACATGTGAGAGCCAAGGTTCCAATGTAACCGCAAGGGGTCCGCAACGAAACTGGTGGTATCCACACTTTGACGCCCCTTATCAGTTCTTATCAGTTGCTACCACATTCTTCACTCAACTTCTTGGTCCCCGCCTCACCCACATATCATACATGAGTGCAAACTCTCCACTGTCAACGCGAACGGTGCAACGAAATTGGTGACATCAACATTTCGACGTCCGTTATCAGCTCCTATCAGTAGTTATCACTTCCCGCCACCCGTCATCAGTGTTCACCTCTGGCCCCCTATATCCTAGAAGTTTGAGCGCTCTGGGTTCAAAGGGGGTGAAGTTATGAATTTCCGGTCAGACACACACACACACACACAACCGCTTAGCCGATTATATATAGTAGGATATATATATATATCAACAACACACGACCCTCCGCCTCCCAATATCTAAATTCGACCTCTTCCGTTAGAACTGTTCTCGAGAACGAAGTTGGGTTGACCATGACACCCTGTGCAGCGTAATTATAGGGTAACTATGGAAAAATCAGCAGACTTCTCTGTCCTCGTCAGTTCAAAAGATGGGTAACATACCTTTCGATCCGGATAGGAGAAGTTCATCGGTGGCTGCCACTGAAAGAACAGCTTTCGAGTGTCCTTCTACAGTAGCAGTACGCGTCACGACACGGTACTGCCCTCCAGTACCTGGTCGTATAGGTACAATACGACCTTGTTCGTAAAACAACAGCGAACAGGATGTATGAATGCAACATTATGAAGAGTTCTCTCTTGTGACATGTGGATATCGCAGGAAGGCTGTTAAGAAAGTTTGTAACTAATTTAAAAAAATGCCTATATTTACCCCGGGGCTGGCTCATCTTGAAACATCCAAAATGACCATGGATAGTAAAGTTTAGAGCGTAAGGCCGATGTCAGACTTTGCGAATCGCGCGATTCGCTAGCGTCTGCGGTCGCGTCGCGGCCAGTGAATCACTCAATTGGCTGGTACCGCAACGCGACCGCGGACGCTAGCGAATCGCGCGATTCGCAAAGTCTGACATCGGCCTAGAAAGTGAAGCGAGACATCTACTCTGCGAGCAGCGAGAATCTCCCTTAAGAAGAGACGATGAAGCTGAGGAAACAAAGCGTCTTAAGTGATGTAAGCAATTTTCAACCACAAGGTAGCAAGTACAGCGGATGGCGGTGGTTTGAAAATAAATTAAACCAAGTCGTAATAACTTCGTATAAGGTCTGTGCAGGCACACATCAAGGAAAAGTATTAGTAATCCAAGAAAATTAGGTATGTAGTGGCTTAGATTTTCAGTATTCTCGCTTGGCCGTCACGGCCGACAAAAATGAATCCACTTTTGAACAACGAACAAAAGGGGAAGCTCCAAAAGTCTCCTAACTTTGCACAGACAAGCAAGAAGTCTTGAGAAAATGAAAGCCACGTAAAATCACACAAATCATCAGTGATAGTAAGTCAGACCGATTCAAAAGCGTTGATGGACTCGCTTCTGTTGTCCATGGTATCAGACGCGCAAATACGGACTTTGTGGTCCGAGTTGAATGATCGGCGCCGGCCCGTTCACGAACGGACGACGTTGGCGCATCTTCACCACCCACAGGAACTTCAGCCAACGACGGGAGGCGAGACGATGAAAGCATTCGGCTACCCAGATTACTAAACACAACTACAACCACCATCTAGCACAACAACATAGTTACGTTATACAAAAGCATACACAATATTAATCGATAGATCAGAAAGTTATCAAGATAATCTGTTAATAAACTCTCCACTTCAACAAAAACATATTAGATCATTGAAAAATTAACATTTTCTGAAAATTCGCCACAGAATTGCGATTCATTAAATCGTGAAAGGAAAGAAAAAACATTAAAATGGGGAGCGCGGAGGGGGGAAGCTTCCTTATTTTAATGTTTTTCATCCATGGTATAAATCTAGACATTATTCCAAAATAGTACTACATTAGAACCGACTTGTGCGCGAACTGATTTACGCTTGTCGTACGCTCGAAAATAAACATAATAGAGAAAGGATAAAGCATTTGCCGTTGATCAATCCCTTTTTGGGATGCGGCACGCATTCTACTTCCATTTGTACATTCGTAGTGGCGTTTGAATGCGATGTGGCCTATACAATGACTTGCGGGGGCCAGCCGATGTACAAGTCAGTGTTTTTATCCTCCCAGACAAGTCTGGTACCAATTAACCGACCCCGGAGGGATGGAAGGCTTGGTTGGCCCGGGCGACTCACGACCCAGGATTTGATCCCCGGACCGCTCGCGTGGTGAGCGCGCCACTTGTCACTACACCACTTCCGCCCAATAAAGTCGGAACAGCTGGGGGTAAGAAAGTGAAAAGTTCTCGGCGGATGCCGTTGCGAAAGTACCGCCTTAATGTGATAAGATTTCTGACTTTATTTTGTGTTTTCATTACTGGAACAAATGGAACGTTTATTTTGTATGGTAGAAGCAATTCCCGTAATGCTCTCTTTTTTGCGATTGCAAGGATCCAAGACGAGCGGTGCAATGGTAAGGTGATGGCCCAGGACTCACAACGAATCACAATCAAGTATTTTGGATGGTACGCCTATTGGCAACCAATTCTTCTCACGCTTCAGGAAGATCATTGGGTACCAGATTTTGTCCTGGAAGGATATCCACTGACGACACCCAAAAAGTGATATCCAATGGTGAATGTTTTAACCCAGAAATAAATATCCGTTTAACAGCCCACGTCTACTCCAGTGCGACAATAATCCCATAAAAAAAGGCGCCTCGACTCGAATCGCAAATCTGCGGCAAATAATTAGGTAAAAAAAATCGCGTTAATAGATTTCATAAATAAGTACAAGATTTCTTAGTTTCTATAGTTGTGTAGAGAAATAAATCAATAACAACAACAACAACAAGACCAGACCCTTGACAATTCAATGTCGTTGGCCTCGCGGGTAGTTGACCACATCGCAACGGTCTTGGCGGTAAATTTGCTATCGTGTTGCGAAACTTTCTTGAATGTCTTGCGGAATCCGTGGTCGATCCTGCCGTCGGCGGTGGCATGTTCGACGAAGACGGTAGCAGAAGCAACGAAGCAGCATCACTGAACCCAAAAACACACTACTACTACAACACAACTGCTACAACTAAAGCACATTTGCAATGTTATGAAGCGTTATTGACGTTGAAACATACGTTGAAGACACAATTCAATATGCAAAGCCAACGAAGGAGCACTTCGTAGTCCTGCTCCTTAGCATGCGCAGCTTATCATAAGATCTAGCACAAGGCTGCCAATATCTCTTGTCAAAGAGGTTCTTCACACATAAGCACATTACCCACTGCTCGATGCGTGGAATTATAAGGGCAGATGCCCACGACAGTAAACTGTTGCAGGCGACATCTTCGGCATCGAAAGTGATAGGGAGACAAAAGATCGTTGTAAAGGAAATCTAAAAAACACCGGAAATATTTGAAATAGTGTCGCCATTTTTGCTGGCCAAGGGCGGAATTTACGATTAGAACCTAGCCCATTAAAAGTAAGGTAAATTTGCTCAGTGCAGGGCGATGATTAATGAAAAAACAATGAGGAAAACGGTCTAGTAGCAGTGTGACTCTCGATTGATGTTGTGTCCTTCAACGGCCAACGTAACGTATTGAAGCTAAATTGTCTTGGGACCTGCGAGCAAGGTGGTTTAGATATTCGCTGGGAGGCCGCGCCGACCAACGCCGCGAGGAGGGCACGCTAGTTTACGGCTGACCCTTCTTCGATCGACCTCAAAAGGCAGGCGATTTGGCCGAGAAGCGGGAACGCATCGAGGAAGCTATGCAACTCACGAAGAGGTACTGGCTACAGAGAGCTAGGTGCAGCTGGTGTTGAGCCAGGAATACAAAAGCAGTTCCGCCCCCAACAGTGTATCGCCCTTAGCTAAGTTGGTAATTTGTAGGACTGCATTGCCATTTGCAGCGGCACAACTAGCAACACGTTCAAGCATGGATGGCATGCTGTTACCAAACGCCTCTACAATAAATCGGCTCATACACCCGCTTTCTGAGCTATCATGTTCATGAGTAAAAACTAACGGCCAAAAGGGGTCCGTTTTTGCGCTTTCTTGACGGATTTCTCCGCTTTTTTCGCTACTGGCGTGCCACTGAGCACCTATTCCTCCTGTATAAACCCTTCTTGAATCTATCGCAATCACTGCCTTTGAACGTGGAATCTTTCCGGAATGCGTTGGGTTTTTTCCACGAATTGTAGCAAGCTGTCAAGCTCAGATCAGATTCAGTGGTATCACACTTCCCCTGCTCGGGTCAAGGGAAGTTCTATATTCCCAACCTTTATTGCCAACCTTATCGCGGAAACTCGCAGACACTCTTACCGCGTAGCGTATACCGTGCGATAGGAGGGGAGGATTCGGACCTAACGGGCGTTATCGAATCAACAACGCAACTTCAACACAACTCTCACGTACTTGGATAGAGGCACCATTAAAACCGATCTACTACATTTACGAGACAGATCGCTGAGTAGTGATTTCGTGGGGATAAAACCACATCCAACTCCCTAGAGGGGAGACTACACGATGCCATGAGACCGTGGTCTAGTCCATGTGAAGAACCTTTTCGACTTCTTTCCGTATAATGTATGTGACCCTTCGAGAGAAATGCTTGAAAGTCTCTAATTATTAAACCTAATTAATGTATGCTATACGAAGTTATTAAACCCCACACTATAAATACTCTTAGAGGATCTACGATATACGTGATATGCTGCTAGGCCGCATGGAACAAATGTTTTCGAGGCAGTAGATGAATTGTGTCTTCAACGAGCATATGATTAACATTGACTTTGAGTTCAAGCAGTAGAGAACAAAGAAGTTGTGGGGTGGACAAAAGCAAAACATGCACAAAAGGTCATGCTGCAAAGAGGCAGGTAAATCTGAATAAGCTAGAAAAAGATCTTGCTCCAATATTTCTTAGAAAATGAACACATGCTGCATGTGTCAAAACTGTCGCCCACTTTGTCAACAATGGACGAAAACACATGCAACACTGGGGATTGCTCGATGTGGCGCCGGTGTGGTTTAGAACTTGAGCGACTGCCGTAACGTGAAACACAGGTGATGTCCTTGCGAAAACCTACACTCGTGGCTTTTTCTCCTTCTTCTCCTCATCTGGAGGTAATTCTGGCTTCGCCGCTTCTGGTTCTTTAGGAGATATCGGCTCCGAATTTTCCGCAGGGTAGAGCAACTCATCAGCTGTTGCTGTGTGACGTCGCGCTCTGTACGGAAGCGGCTTAAGGGAGCGGTTCGGATGGCTCTGAAAACAGAACAGCTGATTGAAATGCAGGAGAGGAATGAATAAGTGAAGGAAGATTAGAAAATAAAAGGTGATTTGCCCCAGGGATTGACCGCTTCTGGACGTCAATGAAAACGATCTGCGGGAAAATAGTGGGAAACAACGCCGTTATCGCACCATGGTGGTTTGCCTGTTCAAGGATCAATCCCCACCCAGACCGAATCAGACCTGCAACCGCACAGCCAGTCACCTAAAACGTGCGCCAGGACAAATCTGAAATAGTCGAAAAATAATACGATCAAGTGCATCAGCCGGCTCATTGCAATTCCTTACAGATATATTCGGAGTCGAATGTGCGGAGCATTCCGGGAAGGACTTAATGGGATCGCGCAAGGAAAAATCTCGCCGGCACCTTCACCAGAACTCAATACCTTAGCCCCCTTGCTCAAAGAGGATAGTAAAAAAAAGAAAAAAAGCGCTGATTTTAGATCAATCGGAATGACTACGAAGGCTGTATGAAAGTTGAATTCCCGCCGTAAAACTGTCACAACTATTGGTGCGAAAGCCAACACGTACAGTTGCCTCGCCAAACCACAGCGATGGGACTGATGGCATCCTACGTTATTCACTAACTCCCCGTGCCAGAGCGAATTTGGTGCATTATCACTAACTTACCAGTTCGATTCGGTGATACACTACCATTTCGCAATGAGGCCAACGAAGGTGATCGACTCTTCTTCTGCGCATTCTGTTCCAGCATTCCCTCCACATCGTTGACTGAAAGATGAGGCATAATTCATCATAACAAGACCATTTGCCGGTAAAATGGACAGCCATACGTTCGTCACTATTACATTCATTTTCTTCCATCATATTCAGATAGGATGTACATGCATCAACATAGTAATGATCTGAACAGTTTAACTAGACCTGTCCAGAATGCATATTGATTGAATTGCTTTCCAGAGAAACTAAAATTCTGGAGGAAAATCTCCACAATTCAGTAAGAAAAGACATCTTTGGAGAGTTTTAGTGGATGGATAAAAATTTCGGAATCAACCAAACTTCGAGAAACACTATCCACCTCAAGGAAACCTTGTTTTATTGAAAAACACCGTGCTGGCCTCTGGACAGGACTTTTTGGAGTCCCGATAAGGGCCAAATGAGAACCGACAAAAGCTCAGAGGAGGAATAGTAGTGGATAGGTCATCGTTAGAAGAGCCGACCTTCGAAAGGGTGGTGGGAATGGGACTATTTCTGATTTGCATGTTATGTGCACTTATGAATAGAATTAGTGCCTCAAAGATGTTGAAAAATTTCACTTTTTTCCTGTTATTCCACCGCCCAATCAACGGGATTTTTGAGAGCGCAAAGGAGGATAAGTAGGGTAAAGGGTAGAGAGCAGGTCGTTGGTGAGGAGGCGCAGGCGGTCGTCTTATATTTAAAAAAACTTCCTCGTGCTTGACTACGGCCCGAAGGCTTTTACCAGGTAATGCTTTTGAATTCCCATGCAACTTCAGATGGAGACCCAGGCATATTGATAGATTCTGGAACACTTAGGGCATTGAAACTGCTACGTGAGGTTCCTAAGAATGTTGCAATCCTTCAAACACGTCAGGGGACCCATGGTGGCGTCGGCGAGTGGTAAAGCTCTAGCTCTGGTTAATGACTTAAAACCGTTAGATGCTCCTTCAACAAGGCATCACATTACCATAAGGTTTC